GTGAAATTTGTCACTTTCTACACTCGTAATGTAATATACTATTTTCTACGACCGTGCGATTTTGCCCACTTTCCCGCACTCATTTTAATTCAGAAAGTGTCACTTTCCCGCACTGAATGCAGGAAAGTTACTTTCCCGCATTCAGTGCGGGAAACTAAGTTTGTAACAAAACTACCTTCATTACATGTTTTTTACCAGTCATTCTTTGTACAGATTTTTTAATCTTTATAAGTCAGTGTGTGTCAAACTTTTGTCAAGTTGTCACATTATTTTAAATTTTGTAACCACTTTTACTCAATAAATTAGTACATCCTGCACATTTCTTGACAATTTAGACACTCAGAAGATAGTTCAATATAGCAGCATTCTGACAATTGACACAAAATATCCATCGTCAAGAAGTGCTACGCAAATTGCAGAAGACACCAGAGCTGAGATCAGAAACCTCGGCTCCAGTAACTACACCTGTAACCGATGACATGGCAATGGCGTCGAACACTCATCCCAGCAGTAGTATTATTACCAGTTTATTGAAGAATCAGTACCTACATAATTGTCGTTGGCGAATAATTTACAAAATGCATCCAATTGCTCTTTCACAATCAATATCTATGATAATGAATAAATATGGATTATTTAAATGTGTGCAATATATGTTTAAAGAAAACCGCATATTTTCTTTGTGCTCTATTTTGCTACGGTCGTAGAAAAAATTTTGATCCTAACTCATGCATGAAGTATCTTTCCCGCCCTTGACTGCTTGCCCGAACTCCGCTAAGCGTCGTTCGGGTCAACGGCAGTCGCGTGCGGGAAAGTATAACTTTCATCACTTGTTAGGATAATAACTATTTCCGTTTTTTTTTTTTGATGGAGTTACGTTTCCGAGGATCTCTTTGAGATTTGGTGAGCGGAGCGACCAATCAGAGACTCAGAAATAATTTAAAACCAGAAGGTGTTATATTTGCAGAAGGTTTACCATGTTTTTGGTGGATTTACATTTCCGAGGATCTTCTAGACTAGAACTTTGAGATTTGGCGAGCGGAGCGAGCAATCGGAGACTCAAAAATAATTTAAATTTCAAGATCCCATAACATGTTCGTACCAACGGTATGTGGGCAACACTGGGAAATTAATCTTTGATACGCGGCTGATAGCGATAGTAGGGAATTCTTGTAGTTGATTTTCGGAAATATGTATTTTGCGCATTTATTTATAGCTTAAACGATTCCATTTGCTGGAACCTTTTTCAAAAAAAAAAAAATGCCGTTTTCATTTGGACCTATAGTCACTGGACCCGAAAATCGTTAACTGTGATTTTAAACCACAAAAATTGGGGGTTTATTCTAACAGCAGTTTAGAGGTACTTAAACGAGGAATAACTTGCGGTGCAAGTCAGTTACGAAAAATAAACCTTTGTTAAAATTTAAACCTTTGTTTAACTAACGGTGCAAGTGGGCATTAGCCCATTAATGCCCCTTAAACGATTAATGAGACTGAACATGGCCTCGTGGAGGTCAAATTCCCTTTTTATTGAATCCCAAATATTTACAAAAATACAGATAAGTTAATCTAAATATTGATAATGAAAAGGTAAATTTGAGAATGGTAAAAACGTTTAAAATTACCTTGTTACAATTTGGGCTAGTTGAACAAAACGCGGCTCTGCTCTTCACACGGCAAACCAACAAAATGGCGTAGACTTTATTTCCAGAAAATTCTGTGTGGTTGGCTTACAAATACGGGTACGACCAAATCCAAAGCTTTCAACCCAAAACCAATTTAAGCCAGCAACCACTTGAAATCCCAGTGTCTTCAAAATCCCACAAAAAGGTGGATGTTCCAAGGAACGTTGCCAAGAGGACCGCTGGTAAAATCTGCCAAGAAACTTGTTGCTTGCTCAATGTGCGAATTTAAAAGAGAATGATCCCTTTTCAGCGATTTATTAGGTAGGCTCAATATGAAAATTTTTCTAGAATTTCAGTTTTTTTCTTAAGATGTCCTCTGGTGCCAGATTTCCGATCTCGACCAGGAAGACGGAACACCTAGTTTGGCACGGAACACAATCAGCTTGAAACAGAACACTCCAAACCACAATGATGACCAACAAAACTCAAAGTTGTTATCAAATTCTCTCCCCTAACACTAATTAACACTAATTAATCACTTATACAAGTTATTAATCAGCATCTACCTAGTCTTCGGTCTAAAATCTATCAAAACGACCAGTGACTGTTTAGAGATTATAATTACAGTGACCCTATTACCCACAGCGGTCAAGTACGTCGGCAACAGTGCTGCCCGAAACGAATCCACAAGTGTCTTATAACCCCACTATATTTTTGAGAAAAATAATCATTTGAAAATGCGAATAATAAAGGAAATAAGGGTGGAAAATCGATTTAGAGTGTGCTAAAGTGATTTGTGTTGTTGCAGAAATTTTAATAAAGGAAAATACGAGATTCGTAAGTGTTGACAATTGATATTTATTTGAAAGTAAAGAAACCTTTTCACCGACATTTAGGACCTTTTAGAAAACTTTCGAAAGATAAATAAAGTGGATTCCTATCCTAATAGTAGGGCTTTATTATCCTAAAACTACCCTGTCATCTGAATCCAAAGAATTCACTCATTATTACCTTGAAAAATATACCTTTAATCAACAACTAGATGTTTTGCATCCAAACAGAAGGTAAAAATCTAGCAAAATTCAATGAGCAACCTATCAATCACTGAAAAACATTAATCCTCAGGTATACAGCTTTATAAATACCCTCACAAATAACTGAATTAATTACTGAATTTATTCGAAATCCTCAATTACGTTAAGGCAAAATTTTAACGTAACAAAAGTAGTCCGTCTCCCCTCTTGGAAGTTTATGTTAAGAATGTTCATTTGAAAAATGTTCACTTAGAAACGCAAAAGAAAACTCCGAAAGAAGTCAAGAATATTTCCGAGGAATCCCTTACCCTCCAGAGGCCCCTTAGGAATCCTAAATATAAAAAGTAATATAAGCGTGCTAATGCCAAAATTTGCCTCATTATTTGTCTCACTTCTTTCCAAATATTTTTTTCTCAATATTTTGAACAATATAAACATGCCTTTCCAAATATCACGAATAAATTAATTTTTATTTCTTAAAGCTATTTTCGCCTGCTAATTCTCTAGCTAGGAATTTGAGAATTTTTGCCAAAGAGTAAATGTTCCAGAAACATCGCAGTTAAAGGGTCAAATTACCCGAAGAGATTAGCTGACCTTAATCAGAGAAGATATTTTCAATGATACTTTTAATATCTGAGCTGAAAAAAATTATTTGTTAATAGAAATGGAGGGTAGTTCTACTCAAAAATAATTATATAGAGGTTCCAATTTTAATTATTAGGAATCTGAATATTGACACAAATTTGAATTGATTAGAAATTAATTTTGCAATATTGCTAAGTCCATATATCAGATATTTGCCCAATATATAACGGGATTGGCTCAAATTCAATACTATTATACGAATTTTGACGTGATTTCCAATTAAATGTCATCGCAATACGTACATGTAATGATTTAAATTTTGGCTAGAAAATTTGATTTACTGCAACTTTCCTAATTTTCTAAAAATATTTTTCGTGTTTACAGTTGTCTTTTCGAGAGTGTCTTGGTCACGTTGGCCATAATATTTTTTGATATAATATTATCAGTAAGTGAATAAAAAAGTAAAGTTTTTAAAAAACATTCATTCATGGATAGGAGCTGAAAATAGGCTTCCAAGAAGAAATTTAACAGTATTTCAATGGACCATCAACAAATCGATAATTCATATTGTCGTTGCCAAATTTACGTTTTTCCAAAATCCGGAAAATTTCACACAAACTGGCAACGCCGAATGAGAAATATGAAGTCTCAATCTCCTTAAAACAATAGAGACAATCCTAGGTTTCGTATTTATTGACCAAACCTGGCATACGCAACAATGTTCTCAAATAGGTATATCACTCAATGCGTTAAATTTTGCATAAAATTTTAATTGTAATTTTACAAATGACTGAAAACCAATTGGAAATAAACGATGGCCTTTTGTGGTAATTGAAAATTACAGCGTCGAACTTCTGGTCCAGATTAATTATTTACCCGCAGCTTCAATGAACTTCCAGCCACCGATAGTAATTAAAACTTCAATAAATAACTATCTATCGAAAATGTTTATTTTCCACTTAGTTTCATGTCAATTTTCCATTAACGATAATAGCTCCAATTATTGTGGTATTGAACAATAATAATTGTTGAATATATCGTGCCAGTCTTATCCTTTAAAATAAACTTGAAGATGGTATTTTCCCATTTTTCTCTACTGATTTCATTAAATGTAATAATAAAGTAGCAGCTGTGGAGGTTCGGGGAATCAAAATAAAACATCAAATCAACGCCTTCTCCTACATTTTCTTGATGTAGGAGGTACCTGAAAACAATTTAGTACAACTAAGTATATAAGTTTATACTAATTTTTAACTAAATACCAATTCATGAATAGATTCAGAATTTGATTAAAAAGGAAACAAAAAAATCTTTAAGCATTGCTAAAAAGGTAGAAAATAAAATGGAAGGGTTCAAGCTCATTATCTTCTTTCCTCTTTATCTCATTCCTTATTATAAACACGAACAAAAAAAAAATGAAATCTTCCCGGTCTGTTTTAGAAACTTCAGTATTCTTTCTGAAAAATTGCCCATATTTTCGCATAATTTAAAATTTTTATTACAAACGGTCCCTTCATAAAACGAAGTGAATATAGAAAGAAACAGTGAGCTGAAGCAAATGGCAACTGAATTATTCATCGCCCGAGCGACAGCAGAATGATTTTGCATTTTACTTAACTCCCATATTATTTTTTTTCTAATGTGCTTTTTTTATTAAAAACATCTAATTTTGAAAAAGCTTATGTAAAAAGTTTTTATTAGAAGACTCACATCCATAATCGATCTATAAAATAAAACAATTATTTCTATATTTCAGCTAAACTAGACGGAGTGAAAACCTACATGCGTATGCGCCGCGTGCCCACTCACCTCCAAGTGAAGGTAATCAAATGGTTCGACTACCTGTGGCTCACTCAAAAATGTTCGGATGAAGAACGGGCGGTATCGTGTCTGCCCGACAAACTCAAAGCTGAAATAGCCATCAACGTTCATCTCGATACGTTGAAAAGGGTGGAAATATTTCAAAATACCGAGGCCGGTTTTTTATGCGAGCTGGTGCTACGGTTGCGACCTGTGCTGTTTTCACCTGGGGATTACATCTGTAGAAAAGGTAACTATAATTTTGAAGAAATTATTTAGAGCTTATCATTTCGAGATTCTAATCCTGGCCGATTACAACAAATAACTCTACATTATGAAATATATGTGGAATGTTTGTTATAATAATTATTGTGAACAAGAAAATATACTTGCCAGCAATCAATTATCCCTGAAAGCATTCAGACATGTTTTGTTTTACTCGGTTACACAAAATATTCCCCTCTGCTAGGTACCATCTAAATTTTGTGAACGTCTCAATACTCAGTGCACATGCTTCAGATCAGACCAACGATATTGAGAATCCTATGGTAAAGGTATAGGTATATTGGTACTAGACTAGTGTTTCTACAGGCGCCAAATATTCGAATACCTACTTTAGTGTCTGAAAGCCCAAGATGAAAGATTAAAGGTTCTAAAGGCCCAATACTTGAGGATTCTTAATATTTTACTAATTACTTTAAGGATACATATGAGTTGAGCCCAAAAACCCTAAATAATATTAGCTTTAGTTAGAATATGTGCACTAAACATTCTGAAGCCTCTAAAGACTTTGGGATATCTGAAAGATTCTGGAAACCCAAAACTGAAGCCTGAAAACTTTGAATCTCCTAAAGACTTTCGCGGAATTGCAGATACAACACAAAGGGTTTAAAAAAACTAATGATTTGACGACTCTTAAGACGCTCGTGGCCCATCATTGAAGAATTGGAGATTCTAATGTTGAGTCGGATACTAAGACTCAAGACGTTAAGCTGATTTTGAACCTGAGAGTTTAAAAAGACACTGAAGACTGTGACAAAATTGAGAGGTTATGTAAGCATTGATATTTTGGTAGGGTGAATTATTTTGTCACATATTAAAATTTCGTGTAAATGATTCTGAAAAGTAAATTTGATCTGAAGCAGTGAATAAGTTTTCTGAACCGGAGGCAATCTGAACGAAATTAGGGATGCCCATCTAATTGAAAACATCGATGTTTTGATATCGATAAAACATCGAAAGCTGATATCGATGTTAAGAAAAAATCGATAGAAAAACATCGATGTTTTCTTAACATCGATTTTTGGTTTGTAAATCAAATTAGGTATGGTTTTTGTTTCAAACCAGTGGTTGTTATTAATGTGAACTAAGTGAATAGTTCTATTTTCGTTCTCTTTGTCTTTAATAGTCAACCAACAATAGGGGACCATACGTACAGCATTTCGCTATATTGTACAGCATTTTCAAAGTCTGTCCAGCATGATAGGTCTGTTTCTGCAGCATTCACAAACCAGTCAACACGAATTTCATTGGTTGAAAATAGTCAGGTCAGAAAACTAGTTTCATCTCAAGGTTCCTAAAGTTAATAAGTTATCTGGTAATGGTAAACAGATGACGTGATCAGGAAGATTTAATGGAGATTTGCATTATGTTTAGGCATCCAGATGACGTCATAAAAGTTATCAGCCAACCTACCTCTTTCAAACAACCTTGGTCTCAACTAATGAAATTCACTCTGACTGGTTTGTGATTTCTGTGCAAACAGACCTATTATGTTGTCTTTCATTTTTATTTTTTTTTTGTTAATGGCTGTTTGCACCGACCATTTTAAGGAAGCCTTAGCGATAAGTATTTCTTAAAATGACATTTTTCCATGGAGAAATTTCACTTTAAGGAACACTTATTGCTAAGGCTTTCTTAAAATAGTCGGTGCAAATGGCCATAAGTGGTACAAAAACGGGCTATAAAGTCGACAAAATTTGCATCTAGTGCTTTCTCCACTCACCTGTCCCAAAATTTTAGATGTGTACAGCATTCATACAAAAAAAAAAAGGTCACCCTAACCAACAACAACATGCAAAGATATCGAAATATCAGGTTTGGTTTATCTGCCATAATCTGAACTGAAATATTACAGCATAGTTCAAGTTAGTGCAACACAAACAAACAAACCTATCGAGAACAAAGTTTGATGTCAGTTAATGCTGTCAATTGTCACTGTCACATCACATAATGGCTATGTTCCGATATCCTGTCAGTACTGAATTTACTTTACTTAAAATCAGCAAAGTAAATCCAGTACTGGCAGTTGATATCGGAACATAGCCAATATAATACCGTTTTCTATTTGCAGAACAAGAAGAAATTTTATTTCTAAATTTTCAATTCACGAATGCACTAAACAAATTGGAAAAAGGAAATCAGATCACTATTCGTAAAAAACACAAAATATCGAATCAAAAACATCGATAATTGTCGATAGTATCGTAATAATACCATCGATGTAAAAATATCGATGAATCGAATACTTTATATCGATGTTTGAAAAACATCGATATTTTTTGGGCATCCCCAAACGAAATCTCCTTTCTTCTCTTCTTGGTTATTGAAAGGTGTTATTAGAGACTCAAAATTAGTACTACTTACTACTTTTCTGCTGAAGCTGGAAACACCTTATTTAACGGCGCAAACCGGCACGTGAGATCTTTCTACGACACCATCAGTGTTTTAATAGGAATTTTAAAACCAAAAAAGAAAAGACTAATTTTCATAGAAAATATTAAAAAAAAAAAAAAAAATACCTTATTCAATTAATAGACCATAAACAATTTTTAACTAAAGAAAAATTGAAAGAAAAGGGAGTAATTTCCCAATTAGAAGATTTAGTTCTAAATCTGACACTTTATTGAAATTCAAATTAAAAATAACTATCATCTCTTTGAAGAGCTTTTACTTAAACACCGGGCGGCAGATGAACTAGAGGATGAGAAACGGTTCGAGAACTCGTTGAGACTTTGCGACTTAAATTTCCGGCAATAGCTCGTAGTTAAACTAGTGGCGAATTGGCGATAACTTAAGTTAACTGACCTCAACATCTGCTTTAATAAGCGAAAGGAACCACCCTCTGGGTACTACTTTAGAAGCCCATTGGTTACCCCTTAGTACCAGGCTTGCGAGAATCGACAAAGTCAAAGATCTCCAATCCTCCTAGCTTTCAGCGATTCGCTGAAAGTACCCTCTGATTTATTGTTGATTTCCCATTGGTTCTCAAGATTATTCAACCTTCCCCATTCAAACTGCTCTACCCTGTGATCCAGTTTGATGGCTCTCCAACAGAGTTTGCTAGTTACATGTGGTCAAATTCTTAATTGAACATTTGATGTTTTCCCTTTTAATTGAAAACCTTTCCGTTTTCTAATTACCTAATATGCTCTCTATTCTTATTTCTTATTTTCTTACCTAGTCGAGTAAATAAAATAAAAGTTCCCTAATTTCTAACCTAATTATCAAGGATGTGAAATGAAATAAACTATCCTCTACCAATTTAATAATAAATTAATTGAGTAATCACTCCTATCTTAACCCACCTATACCTTAATTATAACTAAGCATTTGACTATCTTAAGCCCGTATTACATCTGTGTATTTTTCGTGTATTTCTTCATGTATTTCAGGGTGCCAACATTATTTTGTTTTACATAATGTTGATTTATGTTGCGTTTGAAGTTTTTCGGTTGTCACCCTGAACTACATGAAGAAATTTACAGAAAAATATACATATATAATACGGGTTTAATGCCCGTATTACTTCTGTGTATTTTTCCGTGTATTTATTCATGTAGTTCAGGGTGACAACCGAAAAACTTCAAACGCAACATAAATCAGCATTATGAGAAACAAAATAATGTTGGCACCCTGAACTACATGAATAAATACACGCAAAAATACACAGATGTAATACACGCATTACAGTTAACATTTCACCCAAATAGTAACCCGTGATAATTATATTGTTATACAATTTTTTATTGTATCCTAAAAATCTAGCTCATGTAATTATTGCTTCGCTACACACACACATGCTTCCAATATACATAATTCTTTCCAGCGGTATCAGTTACCTGACATCTGGGTTCGTCATAAAACGTGGGTATTCAGAAGATTATCCTTGACTTTGAATAAATTATCACAACCAAATGGAATCTGGTTCAGTCGACAGATTAGTTTGAAGTTTAGTGTTAATCTAGGAAAACATAAATTTTGCCTATATATTTGTCAATTTCGGGTTGCAGCAATAATCTCAAAGCTATAAAATTTGATACTTTTCTGGCTTTCAAGTGATTTTTACCCTCGAACAGATTAGGTCGGTCGCAGAACTCCATGTGTTTGTAATAATTTATTCAAAGTCAAGGATAATCTTCTGAATACTCACGTTTTATGACGAACCCAGATGTCAGGTAACTGATACCACTGGAAAGAATTATGTATATTGGAAGCATGTGTGTGTGTAGCGAAGCAATAATGCCATGACCTGGATTTTTAAGATACAATAACAAATTGTTTAACAATATAATTATCAAGGGTTATTACTTGGATGAAATGTTAACTGTAAGATAGTCAAATGCTTAGTTATAATTAAGATATAGGTAGGTTAAGATAGGAGTGATTACTCAATTAATTTATTATTAAATTAATAGAGGATCACGTAGGGTCACATTGTAACAATCTATAATTATAAAACTTTTCCCACGAAAGGTGAGCTGAACCGAGAATATGAAATTGCTATTGATTTTGTTACAAGACTAGATAGTTTCTAAAGACCCTGAAGACTTTGAAGATTTAAAATAGATTTTTGAGACTCTATATTATAGACATTTTAAGCACACTACTGAATATAGTGATGTCTCTAAGAACTCTGAAGTATCTAAAAGCTCTGATGATTCCCAATGTATCTAGAAAGGAATGGTAATAGTTCATGACTTAAGACTGCAACGAATTTGAAAAGACTACACTGACTGAGAATTGAAGGCTATAAGCTCAAAAATTGAACTAGGAATTCTGAGAGGAGCTTTGGTATAACTTTTTTAGGGAAGAGTTGATATAATAGAAAATTAATTGAGCTATTCCCTACTCTTCACCCAGCTCGAAAGTGTTGGGAATCAGTCGACGCCTCGTAAAGTCCAGATACCTATTTCTCTTGGCCTCGACGTTATTATGATCTCGACAAAATAAAGTTCCGACAGACTTGTATCATTATTTTGAGATCTTTGTTTTGAATTTCCTGGGACGGAAAAAATGTTACTATGATTCAAGCTTATTGTCAAATATGATGAATTCTTATAATAGTAGTTATGTACATACAGAGTGTCAATTTGAAAACTTTCAATGCGAATATTTCTGAAAGTAAAAAAACGTAATTTGGTACAAATGTTATACAGGTAGGGAGAACTAGAACCATCATATTTTGGTTATGTGGTGAGTGACCTTGTGGGCCCCATGCACCCCAACCTCAAAATTCTGAATGGCACCGCCCTTTTTGTGATACAAAAAATTTAATATGTTTGAGTATAGTATACACCTGCACAAGAATTTTCTCAAAAAAATATTTAATTTTAGGTATCACAAAAGGGGTGTTGTGCCATTTAAAATATTGGGGTTAGGGTGTGAGGATTCAATTAATACGGTTGAATTATTAGTGGACTGTATGGCGAATATTGCGTCCTTATTACACGAAAAATAAAAGTGAGGTCATTCAAAAAGGTTCTTTGTCGCTTACCCAATTTGGCTTTTGTGGTCTTGTAACTTTGGGGCGCCCCTTGAAGGCTTAAACACACGATCATAAACGGCGAAAAATGGACGAAAAACCTAACGGTCGCGAAAATCTTTTGCAAAAGGAACCGCCGAATGGAGTCGGTTCGCACCAGACCAAATCTATCGTATATAGATGGTACTGACCACTGGTCTAACTTTTTCGCTAGGTATTCCTAGGAGGTGCGCGATACGCTTGTATGCCTTCAGCAACATATGGAACGCAAAATGCATGCCTCTATTATACAGGGTCAAATTTGACCAATAAAAAGTTAACGCGAAGTCTTTGCATCAACAGAGTACATTGGGCCCAAGGGGTCATTGCAGTGTTCCACCTACCTGTATAACATTCGCTCAAAATTATGTTTTTTTTAACTATTTCACCTTCAGAGATATTTGCATTGAGAGTTTCCGAATTGACACCCTATATATCACGGCTAATAATCACGGTATATATACATTATATAAGTTGAAATTAAAAAAAAACTGTATTACCAATTATCCAATCTCAAATATAAGAGAAACCTGCGATAAAATTAGAAGCTGCAGATAACTGAGCCGAACAAAAAATAGAAACGATTGCTCCTCTTTAAAAAGTTAAGCCTTGTTTGGCAATTTGCAGCTAACTGCAACTGCAGACTTTATTTTCCGGCGCTTTGGGAGAGCCTCCGTGTGCCAGCTAACGCAATTACTGTCACTGGCTCTTATCGAAGCTATTCGGTTGCACACCTTTAATGACTGCATCGCTTCTCAACGAGTTTGCATGCTTTTCGCAATTTTCTTATCGTAGGTTTTTGAGATTTTATTTTATTTTTTTATAAATTTTTTTGACTACATTAGCACAATTATTAGCTTTGACGTTTATGTATTTTTGGAAAATCTATTTTGCAATTGAAATACAATGTTTCAATTTCAATACGATAACTTTTTATGCTTTAATCTCCAAGTTAATTTTTCTTCATTAATAAGATCAAACTCGAGATCAAAACCAATTCTGTTAGACATCGCGGTCGCCCCCCCACGCAAACTTTTCCACTGACGCTGACCGAAATCCGCAAAATTCATTTCAAACCGCCGATAATTAGATTGTTAAATCGAGCCCGGGGATTAGTTTAACAACTTCAACGGTTGTTTCTCCATATTCGGGCCACGATTTCGTCCCCTCTCATAGTTGGGAAAAGTGCTTGAATAAATATTAGCCGAACAATGAGATGACCTAGCTGCTTTAAATCGGAAATTTTATATATGAAAATCTACTCAAGCTGAAAATCTATAGATAATCTATTTTATGTAATATTATTAGGAATGATTTCTTTTTTTTCCAGGGGAAGTGGGTAAAGAAATGTACATAGTAAACCGGGGTCGTCTCCAAGTGGTAGCCGATAATGGACGCAACGTATTGGCCACCCTGAAAGCGGGTAGCTACTTTGGTGAGATCTCCATCTTGAATATGGGCACGGCAGGTAAATGGCTGGGTAAATATCATCGGCAGGCAAGGAGAACGAACGATTCTGGGACAGCCGTATTTTTTATCGTATCTCTTTTTAACTCTATTTTTTTTAATTAGATTCTTGTTCCACTTGCTGTTACAACTCAGATGAGATGTGTTGCATAACTCTTCCAAAATAATCTTACTTATCAAACTATTAGCACAGCATATACAAAAACAATCAGCAGGCTAACTCTCACGCGCATCTTTTCTGCGCACGCCGCCATTAGGGGATACCATCCTGTCATTAAACGGCAGGGGCGCCGAAATTTCATTTTATTTGTTTATTTCTGACGGAGGTCATAGGCGTGCGGTGTAGAGCGGAATTTTAGTTATATTTTCGAAGTGATTCTAATATATTCGTGTTGTCATTTATAGTGTTATCTGTTATCATTGTTGTATATTTAATAATAATAATAATAATAAATTAGTGTTTATAAATATTATTATATGTAACTATGTAAGTAATAATAAATTAGTTTATTTAAAGCCAATACCATTCTATGACAGGAAAAAAAAACTAATTTATCGTTAATCAGGCCCTGTTTCGTATCCCAAAATGGCCACTAGTGACATTTCAACGATGAATTCCTCTATTACACGGGTTGTCACTCAAGTTAGCCTGCTGATTGTTTTTGTATATGCTGTGCTATTAGAGTGGTTATTTTGTCAGAATTAATAAAATTAGTGTCCTTCGCCTACTGAGCTTAGGAAACTAAAACTAAGCTCTAAATTTGACCCAAAAACATTAAAACAAAAATTTAAAGTTCAAATCAATAATCGCTTAAATCGTAATTACCTATGGAAATTTCCAAAGAGACCCTTCGAGTTCAATACCGTTGTTAGCCATTAAAGTATCATTACGGGCTACCTGCACATCAATTCCAGGTGTAATTGTTTTATTCGTATTGTATTGGAACTCTCCTGCTTTCAGTTGAAAGCATATGTAATTTTGCCACCTGTTAAAGAAATTTTGCAAGCGAAAATAAAGCTAGAGCTTTGGATTAGGATAAGGAAAAGCTAACGGATTTATTATTTATGGAAGAGTTCTGCATCACTGCATGACGGCATGTCGTATCAACCGATCCTGCCTGGCTTAATGATTACCCCTATAGTTTTAATTATAAATTAGTTGTATCAAATCCCTGGAATAGTGATTTTATGCAACTTTATCGATATAATTTAACCAAAACAGGTTTAGAGAAACTTTGGAAACTAAGTAAGCTTATTGTAGTTTTTACTCTCAAACTTCTAACCCCTGCTTATCCTGTTTCTTTGAAGTAAAATTGGTTGCTTGTTTTTTTACCTTTTACACGTAAAACATTGCAGAGAAGCAACCATTAAAACACATCTGCGTCATTGTTTTATGCTAAAGCATAAAGCATTGTTTATTACACATCTCAAATACCACCTCTCTCTTTATAGTGCCACTACCTTTGAAGCTATTAATTATGTGTTTTTGAATTTGATTTTCTTTTTTTTTTGAAGAGCATAGCTTCTGCATTTCGTGTACTAATGGATGAAAGTATTAATTTTCTCTTTTTGAAAACGTATAAGAGAAAAGTGGCAAAGAAATCTTGTTACGGGTCACAATAACAGGTCTTTACAAAATACTTGAAAAACTAAGGAACCTCCGAACATCTTCTCTCATGGACCTCGAACCATCCTGAAATGAAATTAACTGTTAAGTACCTTTGGTTTGAATTCTAAATAACTTGTTACCCGCAAAACGCGATTGAAAAGTAAATAATAAAATTTGAGGAAGCAACTAAAACAAAAAAATAAATAAAAAGATAGGGTTGGTCGGTGGCTGAAATCTTGAAACGAGACTTCGTGTGAAGGGTTGCCGACTAGCTTCCAATGCGGAGAGGGGTGTGGATCAATTAAATAATTAAATTTAGAGCGCCACCTGCTCTTCCCTGCAGTACACGAAGTCAACCGATATAACGAAAGCAGGAAACTTCTACGGCCCTATAGAAACACAACCTGAAATATAAAAGTAAACAAGAAGGAAGGACAGAAGTGAAACGCTTTGCTACAATCAGTTACGGGTTTTTGATTAGACCCAGAACAGCTTTAACTCTAGTGAGTGGAGTGGGTTTCCCAAACGCCCTGGAACCCTGAAAATTATTAACACTGGAACCAGAACAAGAACAAAATAAATCGACTAGGAGTACCTAACCTTACGTTCTAAAAATAGTATTTACAATAATTTAACTCAACTTGAGTCCATAAATAAAGAAATAAAGAGTATTGGATAACACTTATAACAACAATAATACCTGAAATGTAAATTAATAGAAAAGCTTACTAAATGCAGTACCTTCGTAAATGGCCATTTAACCCCGGGGTACAAGTATTTTCCTGTATTCAGTGCAGCATGTATTTATGGGATATTAGAGAGATATAGATCAATAATTAAAGTTGAAGTAACAATACGTAACCTGAAGGGGAATTTAATATTATGGAATAATATAAAGTATGTTTTTTTTTTAAAGATAATTCCCCAAGTCAAAAATTTAGTAACTATGTTGGCAACACAAGCCTTTTCTACATAAAAAATTTGAAAGCATTGACAATTTTACATTGTATTGCCAACAGAATGTCATTTTGACTTTTATCTTTAAAAAAAAAACAGATTTTAGGTAAAGATAAATAATTAAAATTGAAGTAACAATACATAACCTGAAGGGCAAATTTAATATTGTAGAAGACTGCGTCGATGTGGTGATTTATTCCAACAAGGGGTTGGTAAGGTTTGATAGGTTCCAGATATTAAGACAATAAACGCAACACACTTATCCAACCTGAGTAGTCCCTAATCCCTTGAGGGGAACCTGAAGGATTGGATTGATATCTTCCAGTCTTTCCGATGGCCTGGGAATGGATCAGGATTGCGACAAGAAGCTACTGGCCCTGGGCACTGAAGTTCAGTAATTTGAAGTCACTGAAGCCTCCAATTGTCTAGCGGAGGCTAAAGACAGGAGGTACGACTTGAAATATACAGTAAGCTTAACGTTTAACTCTTCACTCAAGGTTAAGAACTGAAGCGTGACGACTAAAGGCCTGAAACAAATGGACGTTATGAGACTGGACGTGGAGCGATAGGTAGGTAGGTCCAATATTCAGAATTTAACCATATAATTAACAGAAAACTATGCTTATACACAGCAATAGAGAAACACAGAGAAGACTAATAAGAAAAACCACTTACCTACCAAAATACTTTGGCCTTTAGGAACAAACAATTGATCACGTTGCTCTTTTTCGCCTCACAAAGAAATCCGCGCAAGGCGCTTTGGTGCTAAAATAACAGATTAGCCACCCTAGATCTATGAGCGAAAACTGGACAACTCGGAAATCGGCAAAATGTGCCTGAGGAATTTTCCAGAACACTTAATCGTGGAAAGTCCTCGACCTGAATGACCTCTGCTTGTCCCTTCAATGTCCTTTAAAAAGGTTGTGTCAAAACTCCAAGGTGAAAGGTCCTGGGGAATTTTGATGGTGGTTGGGTATGAGACTAATTTAAATTGACCATTCACTTCATTTCACCTATTCATTGACCCTATTTGGAGCGCTGTCAATCTAGTCAATCCAATCGGATCAGACAATCAGCTGTTCTAATGTTAATATTGTGATTTTATTTATTAATAAATTAATTGATTATTTATTTTAACCCTACTAAAAGGAAATTAATTCCATCATTAAACCTCTAACTTGATGATTCTGGGAAGAATGAAAAGTTTGAAGAAAAGTGTGGCCACAACTATTGGAAAGAAAACAGTGGCTCGACGACGGTATGCTGTTTAATGAGGCGAATACGCTTATTCCCTTTTATTTTGGCCCAGGAAAAATCATCTCGTGATAAACTACTTACCTTGCTCAGTGCTTCAATAAATAAAACAATTTCATCTCCACCATCAGTCATTTTAACTCTCTGTTTATCTGAAAATAAGGAATTTAAATTTTTTTTAAATTAGGTATTAAATATTGATAATATATTGAGCAACGTCAAATTGTTAAGAAAGACTTATTGGACAATGATTTTAAATAAACCTAAAATCGAAAAATCCCTAACTTTTCCCTAGAACCAGAATTCCTGCGCCAAGGTTCCAAAAAAAAAGAATAACCGATTCGTGACAGAACCACATTTTCGTTGAGAAGAAACAGCATATTTTTGCTTTTCTCGTGGCTTTTTGACCGATTTTTGAAAGGTTTGGGCCCAAATATTTCGTCAACAGGTGGTTATTAGCTCTTTTATAGCACCGAAGCACTATTTTGCTGATTTATTGTCGAATTACTAGAATTACTTCGCTCAATTGTAGGCCTCCGACTACGCGTCGGCCTTCAAATCTTGAGCTCACTATAAAAAGACCTATATGAACGTAATGAACAGACAGTCATACATTGCAGAATGTTGACTTAATTATCATAAGGAATAACAAAAAGTAAATGAGTAGTGGTTAGTTAAAAAATATATTTCAACTAGAGTTTCGACAATGGCAGCAATGACGGGCCAGTCGTACTACAAAACTTTTCTGTCCATATGACTAATATAACCTGTCCACATACAAATCTCAGTCCAGACTGCAAATATTCATCCGACAGTTAAGACATCGAGTCTTCTTGACCATGTACGAACCCCAGTATTCATGTGCTCATGAGGATTTGTACTTTTGCTTTCCTTTTTTAACAAACAAAAATTTACTAAAACAAATTATGAAATTAATAACGTCAAAAACGTTCGTCGGTTTTTAAACCAGAAAACAGAAGTCATTCAATACAATACAAAATTTATTAAATTTATATGAATCAATCTACGACAAACCTCTTTTTCCAAGTTATGACATTATCGATGTCATAGGTACAAACCATCGTGTAATGAACCTAATATTATTGTTCTAGACTAGAGAATTCACTGCAGTATTTTCTCTCGCATTCATATAATAGCGCATAACAATATATTAAAAGTTATTTGTGCAACTCCTCTTTATTTCCAAAACATTTTGAGATAAAATAAACGAAAAGCTCCGATCTAATTATATGCTGCTGCTGTCAGGACAGCGTCAAGTAAACTGCGCTTAAACAACGTCAAGAGGCTAATTGGCTCCGTTTCTCCCTTGAGCCGTAATAAAATACTTACCCCAACAGTAGCGCTATACACAGGGTTCGCTTTGGGAGATTCTTTAGTGAAATTTTGCCAATGGTGTTGATAATATCCCATCCAAATGAATGGAAAGTTGAAATGTCAGAAGCAAAAGTTAGTGAGATCCAGGTCCATCATGGCTCCCTTTGTCATTTCAAGAATCAACATATAGATCCGTAACAATCTCCATTAATTACCGAATGAAACATGTCCTTGCCAAAAGGCTTATGTTTTCCGTGACAGCTTCTATGCCGGTTGCATTTTGGCTGTCGTCCAAAGGCTCTTTTCGTCCTCGTCATAAATTTTGCGCCCGGTGCGGAGACCAAAGCGCTTTAATATCGGATTTTGGAAGGGTTTAATGACGGTTGCAGATTTGCTTTTTATTTTACGCCTACTTTGCGGTTTCAGGTCTCTCCTACTTTATTAAAAAATTCGCCAGACGAGAAAATTTGCTGCAATTCAGTAAATTTCAGCTCTCGTTCGAATAAACTTTTTTTTTACGATTTCCATAAACTACGAGAAGGCTTACAAATTTGAATTCACATACCCACACACACACACACACACATTTACTAAGAGATTTGTAGATATTCAATATGTCTTGCTTTTTAGAACTTTTACGCAACCAGCCCCCTTTTGACCTTTATATTTTCAGGCTCACTTTTTTCCTATTTAAATCTAGATTCCCCATTTTCTTTATAAATAAGTAATTTTTTTTTAAATAACTTTTTTATTACTAGGCAACAGAAGGACAGCTAGTGTGAGATCTGTAGGCTACAGTGACTTATTCGTGTTAAGTAAAAAGGACATGTGGGACGTACTCAAGGAATATCCAGCGGCACGAGTGAGATTGGAAGCTATAGCTGTTAAAAGACTGGAAAAGTATAAAAGAGCGCCCTTAGAAAAAGGTAAGCCAATTTATTTGTTTTGCACTCTATACATTATAAGCTTACAAATCCGTATCGCTGAAGACATCAGCGAGCCAAATTGAATCCGGTTAGATCCGGCGCCACTTCCATTTATCGAAACATTGCACTATAACATCTTAGACGGGATTCCGACATTCAATTTTCCTGTTGAATAGGTATCGGAGTCGGTGATTGATTCCGTTTAATCCCTCCCCCGATCTGGTAATTGACAACGCCAGCCCATGATTTACAACTTTAAACCGCCTAAATAATTTGGCTGGGAGGGTGGATTGAGCGTGTTCGATCAACTACTCATCAGCCAACAGTTCGATGGATTTGTTGTTTTATTTGTGAGATAAAATAGGCCTAGTTAATTTAATTTGTACATTGTACCTTTTTTTTTCTAATTTTTACATTTTCTCATGACACAATGTTAATTGCATACCTTGAAGGACAGAGTAAATTATTCAGTTGGTTGGTTAGTTGGTTTAAGGCGGGCTCAGGCGTGCTGGCGTCCCGATTGGAACTACAGCCTTAAGGCTTATTGTGCTACCCCTGTCATGCTTAAGCAACTTCCATCCTTCGTGTTGTTTTCGTTCTTCTGCGAGCCCGTGTTCCACAGTTGTATATTACGTATAAGGCGGTTTCCTCCACTTCACCACACAATCTGCATGTTGTTGGGCCATTGTAGACTTTCATTTCCTAGTCCTACCATCCTATCTGAGTACGCATTAGTGTGGACCATCAATAGTCGGGGTGTTGACAGGTCGACCACCTTTTAACTGCCGTCTTAATAACCTGCTTCGATATCCCAAATGCGGGTTCTGGTCTTGTGTAGGGTGCAGCTGCATGCCCAGGAACACACAGGAGCTTTATCCTGTTATTTCTTGACGACAGAACTTCTAGGTCGTGTAAGCATTCCATCGTACATTATTACTGCAGTTTCAAGAAATTATATTTTTGACTCTTTGTTTTCCTATTTTTCTGTTACCTTTGTTAACTTACGTTTTTGCTAAATGTAGGGGATTTCTATACTCAGAATACACAAAAGTTGGTTGTTGTCCTCTGTATCCTTTTGGTTAGGTATTCTAGTTTGATTTCGCTCTATGGTTTTATCGACGAGTCGATTTGAGTAAACACTTTTCTTCAGGTTTGTCCCAATCCTCTCCATTTTCTTATCTAGGGAGTCCTTATTATTGCAAATGATTGTAGCTCTGGTGTAACACGTTTCAAAATTCTATTCGCAATCTATGGGTTGGAGTCATGGTGTGAGTTTTGTCCCGTAGGTATTTGCCTGGGTTTTCCACACACTGAAGTTCTGATCTGTGTTTTCCGGAGTGCTCAACATGAACGTCCTGAAAAGGCAGGGCATGGATCTGTCCTTTTTCCATAGTAAATTTTATGTTGTTAATATTATGAGACCCCAAATTCAGAAACTTGGCAAGATGTTAAATTGGCGAGCGGTGACTTTAGTTTCTGAGTGGAGACACAGTTTAAAGTGGGTCCTATTTGCGGGTAGAGAATAAAACACAGAAATATTGTAATCAATTAAAATAAAGTTTCTTTTATTAAAATAAATAATGCTTGTTATTAAATAACAGGCGTCGGTTATAAATAATCTTACAATAAAATTATTCAATCTCTAGTAAGCATCAGTTAAGTGGAAAATCTATATGACTCCAAGTAAAATTTTAATTCACAGTTTGACTCGACTCATACTCTTGCCTTCACAATATCTGGCCGAACTTAAAAAAAAACTCTACTTACATTTTACAATAATATATTTACTGCTGGCCACACCTAATTACATGGAAATCTTATTGGTCGAAGGAATTTACTTTAATTATGAACAATTAATAAAAACTCGAATATTTTCGCGCTGTTATTTCACGTCATGCTTCTTCTCTCGGTTGATTCGACAACTCTTTTACGCCGTAGTTCTGACTTTCTGGACACAGGTCTCTCGATTCTCGATTACTACTTATTTCTTGATTACTCAACCAACACTGGTCCTTCACGCCGTAGTTCTGCCGGTTTACTCGCTCTTAAACGAACACTGATTTTCTTCTGCCAAAATTGCATTTTTATATCATTGGTCCCTCCATTGTCTTGAATTTCTTTGTTTTTTCTGACCTCGATTTTTCGTGGTTGAATCATCCGATCAATTAGTGTATTTGGTCCCCTTTCAAATAATTATCAAGGGCGTCGCTAAGTGGTTTGTTAAGTGGGTATCATCATATAGGCTCGTGCATGATTTATTGATCCTTTTAGACATTTTTCGGCTCCTTTGGAATGTTAATTGTTGAAAGCATTTAAAAAAAAAGGTCCATGAATTTTTGCTTTATTCACATTCCAATGTATTAGTCAATATAGGGTATCGGCTTTCAATAATTTCTGGATATCGATGTTCAGATAATTTTTAATTGAAGTTTCTGGTTGTGCTGTCTAAGTGATGATCTCTCCTGGGATGGTTGTTTGGTAAGTCCTTGTTATTCTTGATTAATTTTCGGTAGTTGGATCCTAGGTCATTAGTTGTTTAGAATAATCAGAACCTTTAATTGTTTTCTTGGTGGTTTATTTCCACGTCACTACAATATGTTATTCTTTGAATCGCTCTAGCTCTCCATTGCTCTTTGTCCAGATTATAATGCTGTCATCCAATCTATTTATTCCTTGCCGTCTTATTGAGGATATGTAGAGTTATTATTTCTGTAAAAAAAAAATTGCCCTAGAAGAAAACTGAAGCTATACTACCACGGCTTTATAGGCTACGAAAACTCCACAAGTATAAGCCACATTTTCGGTAAAGTATGACCGGACCAATCTACTAGATACAGGAAATAATAAGACGAATTGTGAGAGTTCCCGTATGGAGCTAATCTTGTCGGGGTCAGTATGGATTCCATCTGTCCTAAGTACTTTAACGACCTCCTACCAAACTGGCATTTCTCTGGGTTAACCTTTAACTTGGCTTGTCGCAATCGGTGAAATACTCGTCTCAGGTTATGCAGGTGTGATTCAAACGTGTCCCCACGAGTATAATAATCTCATCCAGATAGCAGAAGCAGTCCCGGTCTATGTTTGGACCAATGATGACATCCATCAAGCGCTGAAAGGCCGCTGGGGCGGAGTGTAAGCCGAACGGCATTACCTTAATCTGAAATAATCCCCGAGACGGAACGGTAAAAGCGGTTATCGGTCGGCTATCTTTAGCGAGCGGCACCTGCCAGTATCCTTGTTTGAGGTCGATACTGGCGATGTACTGGCAGCAGATTGCGACTCCGCTCGTTGATTTTCTTCAAATCCACTCAGAACCGGTATCGGCCTTCTTTCTTACGAACCATCACGATCGGGAAACTCCACGGGCTGTTCGACAGTTCAATAATACCCTCACGGGGCATTCCATCAACCTCAGAGTTGATATTCTCCTGCATACGTGGGTTTTGTGGACGGTAACGTTGTTTGACTGGTTCTAGGTCAGTTGAATAGATTTTGTGTTCTACCAGTGGAGTTGTTCGAACAGTGAAAGCTCAATGTCTAAGAACTCCTTCAACTGGACTTCCTCTTTGGCAGTCAGTGTTAAGGGCGGCTGGAAGTCTTTCGGAGTCTCGAATTCTAAGAGATTAACGTGATCTGCTTTGACTGGTGTGGACACTTGTTCCTGCTTTAACGTGACAGAATGGTCTCGCAAGTTGATGATCATGTTTCGATAAAATGTCCATCCCAACTACCAAATACTAAATCGGCGGGTAAATGTCTGAACTGTGCTTAGAGGACGGTGGAGCCCAGTTCCAAAGTCAAAACATTTTGATTTTCGGTACTGATCGACTGGCCGTTTGCTAATAGGGTCCTCCTTGGTATGTTCTCTGCCTTTTGGGAAGCGGTCCTTTTGCAGTATTGAGTCAGTTTGTCGTATATAAACGAGCTAGTAGCCCCTGTATCCAGCAAAGCCAGAAATATTTGCTGGTTAATGGTAACCGGACCGTATTGGTCTCGTAATAGTACAGCCCGATCTAGTTTCCCGCGGTATAGCGCTAGTCTCGGGGTAACACCCCTTCAGTTCCACAACGAGAGCAGAACAGTTTCTGTGGGTTCGTGATCCCGAAGATGTCCGGTTTGGCCGCATCGCCAACACTTTACTCAGGATGTGGTGTTTACATTCGTTACTCGGACTGAGGGGGTAAGACCGGCTGACTGGGGTGGACGGTTACTATCGCTATCGCGAATTACGAAAGAAGAGAAGAAACAAAAAAAAGGGAACCAAAATGGAGGAAAAAGAAACAGTGAACTTCACAAGGTCAGGGATACGGTCAGAAAACTCCCTACTTCAAATCTAAACGGTCCCTGCTCGGGCGCCAATTTAGTAACAGCAGGGAGTTGGAATTGAAACTCACAATACACGGTAGTAACTAACAAGTTTATTTTGAAAAGAAAACAACCAAAAAAAAAAAAAAAAAACAAACAAACCTCTTGTACGTTTGTAAAATTAAGTAACTTTATAGCGGAGGCCACTGCGGACACATTAAAAATTTACGTGCGTAAATAGAAGAGAGATGAAGGCCTTCAAAGTATCTGTGTTTTGCCCATGTATGTATGAAAACTGAAAAAGTCTTGAGACCGTGCAACAGGTAAATTTCCCGCGGGAGACTCTGATCGAATTTTCCACCGTTTAAATATTTATGAAGGGGTAATGAAATACTGCAGTACCTAAGTATTGGGTTTCAAGTAATTTTAAATCAAAAATTTATGATCAACGAATTTATAACTAGATTACTTATTTATAATACGGTCAGGGTTATTGCTTTTTGACTTTATGCCAAATTGAAAAAACAGCGCGCATAAAGACATTAAAATAATAATCCACTTTTATCCATATTCTAAAGGCTGCACACTAAATGCACCGAGCACTCACTGGAGCTCGTGTTTTATACATGGGAATTAAATTGGAGTTCATAGCGGCAAAGATTATGCACCTCGCATGGATAATGCATGAGGCAATTTTTCTTCGCTCTGATTTTTAGTGGCGCGTCGGGAACACACCTGACGGATATAAAAGCTTTACGAGAATACGTACGGGGGTGGATCACGTAAAGTTTAAAGTCGATGAAAGTCAGATCTAAAGTTTTATTTTTGAGTAAAAAGCTTTGGATTGAAGTGCAGACGTTAAAGACAAATAATATTTAATGAAAAATTTAGATTTCCGTTTGGTCAGTTTCAATTTCTATAGATATTTAAGCAATTATCAGCAGTTTCACCCTCCTTATGAAATGAAAAAAAAACATCAACTGCCTGTATGAAATTAGGAATCGAAAAAGATTTGAATTCATCACCGGTGCGCGAATTTCGTATAAGGTTGTCCCGATGTACTGTGAGAGCGGTTAAAAAACTTACACGTAAGTATGAAAATTTTGCAGGGTAGATACGTGTCCACTTCATTGGTGAAAGTGTAGAATTTCAATTTGAAACCTCCTAGAAAACAAAACGAATTAGTAATATTAGATTTTGCTCTAAGAGTAATCATTATTTCTAATTATTTTAATAATAATCTCTGCTCCAATTAGTATTAAACTTGAGCAAGCTAAAACACAGAAAACCTTATTAAGCTTCCAGCGGGTAACAGGATAAAACTTTACGCCATGCTAAAGCTTTAACGAAATCCGAGAGTTGCGACAAGATTTGCATGCAATTACTCTTAAATTGCCCGCCATATCAAATTATGAAACTCGAGAGTGCAACTGGAGTTTAGAGCCGCACTCTTGAAAACATCTTCTCTTGTGTGGTTTCCAAGAGAAAAAGGGAGAGATACTTGACATATATTTTTTAAATTTATTTGTTTTTGTTTGTTTCAGCTGCAATGGGCCGAAGCCAGTCGACTCCTGGACTAGTGGAGTCGCGCGGTAAAATTACACTAGAAGATATGTGGGTTGCTCCGGTGCCTTATGGCGGTTTAACGTCCCTTTATCCCCGCTCGTTGGCGGTTTCTTCTCCTCCTCAGAGTATTAGAACCTTACCGACTCCTGATAGTCCTGCGGGTTCTACCAGTAGCGATAGGAGCAGGCAGAGTAGACAAAGTAGACAGCAACATGCAAGATCAGGTAAGGGATGTTCAAACCTAAAACTCATAATTTGATAATTCTCATAATTGACTTTAAAAGGGCAAGACAATTGACCATTGAAGAGAGGACTTGAGGTTGTCCCCTCATCATATTGACGCTAGGCAGGTTCCTAGACAGAAAAGAAATTCGATATAGAACATGTATATATTTTATTTTTCCCCACATTATTTATTCTACATATCATCTCCCATAGTTCACTTTACTAGTAAGCATAAATGTCAGCTATATGTAGTATTTATGTTTATTTGAAAACAAGCGGCAACATTTCTCACACCTCATACCGTAGGATATTTCAAATTTAAATAAATTGCCACTTGCTTCGAAGGCTGTTTATATTCGTTGTTGTTTTACAACAGAATATGTATTTGGAGGTGTACATCATTTAGTAGTAAGAATATCGATAATTGAATTCGAATATTTGTATTGAGAATTTTTTTTCTTTAACAAGGAGGTATTGGGTATGAATCAAATATAGTTAAGTTATCGATGGTTAACTACCATCTACTAATCTACCACATTAGTTGAGCACATAATTTTAAAAGTCTAGAAATATATGAGAGTTAATGTCAAGCAAACAAAATTATGCTTGGCCAGCATATTCATAAGGCATTGTACATTGTACCTCTGTGTATTGTGAACTGAATCAGCAGAAGTAAAAGGAAGATTCACCATAGAGCTCCAAGAATGGTATTACTAAAATCCAGAGAAGTGTAATCCACAAGCCACAATAAGACATTTGCGACAATTTTAAAATGTATAGGAAAACCCTGACACGGTCCAAGTGTACATGGATCAAGTACCCTTGGATGCTGCGCGCGCCTCACTTGGACGACCGTATCAACTGTTATCCAAGTCCAGTGGGATAGGTTCACGCATACAAGTGAGAAAGCTGACTGCCAACTTACTTTGTCCAAGTTGTGATCCAGTGTTACCACCGCCACCTAGTTGCGACGGTTGGGTGAAGGAGACTTTGTTTTAACACTGGTAAAGGCCTTTTTGTACTGCGGTAGCGTGCCACCAGGGACTTTTTTTAAAGTCCCACTGAAAATCTAGGTAACTTTGAACGGATACTTTTTAGTAATCTGATTAGATTGCCTCTTCCAGTGCGGGTTCTTGCTACCTGAGCTGTACGTAGTTAGTTGGAATGCTAGCTCGGGGTTTTCCAAAGGAAATTAAAGAATCAGTTTTTCTTACTAAACTCTAACAATGGTTTATTGAACAAATGGTAAATCTTGGGAAGGAAATGAAAGAGAAGCAAAGAATATAGAGTAGGTTATTATCAATTTTTACAGAGCTTTTGGAATTATAGGGAGTGAAATTAATGAGCGTCCTGTATAGGGCGTTCCTTGATGGTACAAGTTACATGAGAAATTAAGCATTTAAAGATACAGAAAATAAAGACAAAGTTATGATTCTTAGTGGGTAAAAAATTACGGGCGTTCTCGACAAGGGAATAACATCACGGTCTTGTTATTCAGGGTAAGATACATGTTGGAAAAGAGATTTGAGTTGTGAAGCTAACCCAACGGTTTTGTTCTTTACACAGGGGAGAAAATAAATAATAGACAGAAAACAACAATCATAATGAATAAATTAAAATACTTGGAATTGAAACATTGCCTCGGAAAAAGAGTCAGCAGAAAGACATCAAAACTAAACACCAGAACTTCGTTACAGAACTGAATGAAGCTAGGAAACTCACAGGCTTATTTATATTGCTAGCTTGATGACGCTTTTGGGATTCTTATCGGTCGCAAAACATGCGGTTCGTACATAGAACCAGGAGTCGAGAGCCGTGTTTTAAGACACAGTAATCACACCAGGTACACTTGGACCGTGTCAACCGGGCTTTAACCCAGGTTGACACGGTCCAACTGTAGGTACCTGGATCAAGTACCCTAGGACGCTACGCGCACCTTACTTGGACGATACTTGGATCGTTTCAACTGTTTATCCAAGTCCAATTCTAACTAAAATGTTATCTATTATTAAAAAATTACACAAGAATAAATGCCCTCGGTTAGGGATTGAAAATATACTCATAGTCACTCATGTTTTTGAGTTATCATCAGCTTTCGATGCCTTGCGAAACTATAATTTAAAAATGCATAAATCTGCCTTCTAGACATGACCCGTTTTCCTAAATTTTATTATCTGTTAAAAAATGGCTTTTCTTCCAAAAACCATTCGCTCGTTATTAAGCCTTCCCTCCTTCTCGCTTTTGATTCCAATTCATTTACGGATCAGTATATCTTTCTGCCGCGCGGTTCGCGAAACACACTATCCGCCCCTGTTTTCCCAGAGTTTTCCTAACGATAAAATATGGCGGACAGATAATAGGCTATGTTTATTTTATGTAGAAGGGAAACAACAAAACGTTATGTGATTCACTACTGTTATCTCGGAGCCCCGAGAAGCTTTCTGGTTGGCAAGGAAAATCTTGTATAGGGAGAGAAAAACGTGCCAAAAGCGTAACTTATTGTTTATGGGAACATTTAATATTAGTTGCCGTAGTCCAACGGAACTAATTTCGATTAAAGGCAAAGCTAGTTTAGATTTTGGATATCTTCCAAGGGCTGAGTTACTATTCGGTGGACGTGGTGGACAATAATCCATGGCATAATCGACATAACCATGTTATGAGAATTGAAATTATAACAATTTTTATTCGGCAGTCAGAAAACTTTAGTGGAATGATTGGCATTATCTACAATAAGGCAATACGTTTTTTGTTTGGATAAACTTTACTGAAATAAAAACTTTCAAAAACATTGTAATTCAGAAATTATTTTTTTTTTAAATAATTAAGTTATTACCTAGAAACCAGGAAATCTTGGATTAATATAAAAATTGGACTTCAGATTTTGTCAGTAATATCGTCTCCTGACCCATAGACGAGATAAAAGAAGTTAAATCTTCTTAAACTGAAAGGAAAATACGTGAAAAAAAAAAAAACTTAACTATCGATCCAACGAAATTCTAAAAACAAAAGGATTATCGATAATTATCCAATAATTCAATGTTGAATGATCGGAACAGCCTGGCTGAAATTTATCGCCGGAAACTGTACGAAATGATTTTATTCCGTGATAAGGATTTGATTCAATAGTAGTCATTATCTTCTATTATCTAACTTTTTTTTATTAATAGCAGTGAGTGAGGATTGTTCCTACTGTAGCATCCGCGCCAAGTACTCTATTATTTAGGTTAGATGGTAAATTGCGAGTGGTCGTATTTGATGTTAGTTATTTCCTTGGGCAGCTACTGAAAAATAGATGTGTGGGGACGGGTCTATTTGCAATTGAAATAAATAACTGATTTTATGTGGTTATCCGTTAATAATTTCTCTATCTATACTAAGCACAAAATATTCGAAGTCAATTCACTCAAGATAATAATATTTATGCAATAAAGTTTCATAGTCAATTCACTTCATAGTCATTTCAACATTGATAAAGTCAAATAAACATGTCACTAAAGTACTTACATTTAAATTATCGCCCTTAAAGTCACTTAATTATTCTAATTTCTTTCGATTATTTAGAGCTCGCACATAATGTTGAACGAATTTGTTCTTTCTGTCACAATTTTCCGTTTTTTTTTTTCAAAGTTCGATTTAACGCGTTTTCCCGAGGCGACAAAATAAAAGAAACTCTTCGCGAATTTTATCTGCACTGACTCATTAGGTACTGTAGACTTAAACTCAAGACTGAACTGAAGACTCAACTGAACTTAAACTAATCTGAACTGAACTGCAGACTGATGTGAAGAATTCTAAAACCGCTTTTTTTATATTTTTCGCTCCCCAAAAAATATTCCGAGTCATGTCAATTTATTGACTGTTCTTTTTTCTAAGAAAAGTATATTACATACCGAGGTGGGAAGTGTTTCATTACTGTCGAGATATAAGTTAGTTAACTGAGACGCGAAGCGTCTAAGTTAACTTTAATTTCGAGACAGGAATGAAACTTCCTACCGAGGTTTTTATACTATTTTATTTACAAGTTCGGACTTATCTAAAAAAAAATTTACATGCAGTTTAACATTTTAGGAAATGAGGGGATACTTTCCACCCGGGACCACTTTCCACCCGGAAGGAAAGTAAAATTCAAGAAAGTGTCACTTTCAAACTTTTGAAAAGTCAGAAATGTCAACATTACATATGTTGTTGTAAATAATATCATTACATATGTGGTTGTAAATAATAGTATATTATTCAACGAGCGGGTAATGATGCCTATTATTCACGAAGGATAAAGTTTGCACTACGAGCTGCAGGCGAGTAGTGTAATCATCCAAGTGAGTAATAGCCATTACCCACGTGTGGAATACTAGACTTTTTCTATGGTTATTAGATAATAGGCACGAGTTATGCGGTTTTTTATTTAATTTCCGTAACAAAATTAATTGACAATTCTGACAGCTGGAGGACAAAGTAAGATTAGGTTAGCACAAGTCTTGTCCAAATAAGCTGTTAAAATGACCGATTGGAAGGTTGAAGTATGGTGTCAACTTGTCGAATTTTCTGATTGACTCTTAAATAATTGAGTAATGAGACCAGGATATTTTCATTGATTGAAAATAATTAAGTAATGAAAAAAAACCTCCCTGTATGAGTAATCATTCACATTGATCAATAGAAAATGGATGTATATTACGCATATTATTCAATACTCATAGAAAAATATATTTATTTGCTTAAAACCGAATAATTATGTCGCAATTTCCTGGATTATCCGGGTCAACAGATTTGGTTTAAGAATGTAAGGACATATAAATCAATAAATCAAAGGATACCGAAACTCATGTGTCGGCCGTAAATCACCAATTTAATAACTTTTACGTTGATTTTAATATTCTTATGAATTTGATTTATGAGTTGAAGTTGATGACACGCGCTTGGTCACCGGCATTTTTAAAATTTGAACGTATATAAATATTTTAACTAATTTGTCTCACCATTTTCCAGTTTTTTTGAT